TGGTGACCACTGTGAAACACAAAATGTACATTAGGTTAAGTGACTGCCACATGGAAGAAACTCATTTTCCAACATGACTGTAGAAATGGCCAAGGTCATATTATAGGCCAATGGAGCTAGAGTCGTTAAGACCAAGAGGAAACAGTGAATATTTTCTGGCTTAAGGTTTAAATTATGTCAAAAGTGTTTTAAGAACATTGACACAGCAGTAGCAGGGGAAATCCCAGGAAGGAAGATTAGCTAGATAACTACTGTAATAATTCAGGCAGTTGGTAATAATGATCTAGTCAAAGGTAGTCATAATACCCCAAATGTGCTGAGTGGACTCCCTTATATTTATGATGGCGACTCTCAACTGGGCACTTACACAGCCAGACAACCCTACCGTAAATTCTATAGCACATTTATTTTTGTACTTGCCACATTAATACTCACATCACATTTCCTCTGCTCCAACACTAGCACCCCCTCTTCCTTCACTCCTCTGCACTGCTGTTACTGTGCTCATCTAATGTTTCCAGAGAAAATAAATTATATGAGGATACATTGCCCATCTTCCCTCTGTAAAATCTTCCATTCACCATGCTCTACTTTGTGATTTCTGTGAAAAGGACTCCTTCTTCATCCTTTCCACACCAACCCTTCTGTGTCTTTGAAGCCATTTTCATTCTCATTACACTGAAGCATGCCTTACTAATATTACTCCTTAACCAAACCACTTTTGATTAATTTCTCAACTTTTTGCTTCTCTTCTCTGAAGGAAATTATCAAGTCATATATTTAGACATATCACTCTCTACTAAAATGATGACAGTTAATTTCCACATCTCTTGGCATTAAGTCCACAAGGTATAGTCTTATGGCACTTATTTACCAAATGCTATGCAGAGCTGACAGTGTGTACATTTGGAGAACAGGTCAGAGCAAACCTCCCAGTCTCTCCCATTGGAACGTGCTTTCTCACTATGTTTAAAGACTGCCTTGTTCAAACCAGCCCTCTGGAAAGAGATTGCTGCAAGAAACTGTGGCTTCTTGCCAACAGAATTTTTGGGCCTACCCACAAGCACTGAAATATCTGTACCTTACCTGCTACTGCTTGTGAAACCAACCCAGAAACCAACCATTGGAAAGCTTTTGAAATTTTCCAGCAACATAACTTATAAATTAACAAATGCCTATTGGTACTAAGATGACACTGGGAATATTTTCCAAATGTGACAAAGAGTGAGTAATACAGCCACCTCCCATTTTATTTTCCAACTAAAGTCATTGGCTACTTTCAATCATCCCTGCAGTAACCTGTTCCTTATTTTTGAATTGCTTAATAACTGAAACTCATAGGAAGTATAAGGCCTGGGAAGCGTTTATACAATTGCAATTAAAACTGGTAGAATCAATGACAGGAATGCATGGTCTTAGAGATGTTCATATTGTCATATTTTTATTCTATTTTGATTTTCTTTGTAAGCTTTAGCTCTCACAGCATTGGATGCAAGCAGTGACTCCATTTTTATAGAAATCCACTTTTCTTTCAGGCTTCAAGGTATCATATGCTTACCCCTCCCATTCATGTTATTCTGCTTTATTAAATCTTTGAAGTTGGAAGCATTCATAGCTTGTCATCTGCTGTCCTTTCTATTTTAATTACACAAACTCAATGTGTGATTTTTTTTCACTCAATACCTGGATATATATCTATAAAACCTGAAGCATTTTGCCTGGATCCAAATAAATTGTCAATTTTACACTTACAGCCTAACTATTATCATCAAAAGAACAGATAAGGTATAATATCTTAAGTATGAGATGGAGGAGTTTGCTGGTTATCCTCTCATAAATGCCACTGGACAATAGTATACAGAACAATAATCTTAATACTCACAATAATTATGAAACATTATTATGTTTTTTTTTTTCAGAACATTTCTTCACTTGGAAAGATGGTTGTTCTCATTGAAGGCTTTCTGCCTAGACTGAGAAGTTGTCACAGAAGCCTTTTATGTCCTTCTTCCTCAAACAGAAGAGCGGATCATGGACTTATAGCTGGTTTCTGGTAACAGCACAGACCACAACCATCTATATGTTCTCTGATGTCATAATGTTCTACCAATCTCAGTATGGTGTCCTGTGGCTGTGTACTGCTGCATGGGCCATGGACACCAAAATAGCCCTCCCTCAGTGGCAGCATAGGCCAAGGACATCAACCTGGCTTCAGGCTGCAGCACAGATCAGGGACATCTGAATAGCTTTTGGTGGTAACAAGGGCAGGGGACCGCAGCTGCAGCTGGACCACAAATCCAGACATAGCCTCTGATAATGGAAGCACAGCCAAAAGACATTAACTATGTCATTCAGTGTTAACTCTAGCCAAGGACATCAACATGGTTCCTGGACTACTACATTTATCCACATGAATCTGCAGCCTTGAACATCAGATCACAGATAATAAAGTGGCCTCCAGGTACAGCATGAATCATAGAGGTCTTTTGTGGAGGTCCAGTCCAGAGAATGGGTCGTTTTTCATCTTTGACACTCTGATGTTGCTCAGAACTAATGTTGTCGGGTGGCTAGGCAACATGTTCCAGAGTCAAGACTGCAAGCCCCAGTCTACCACATACCTCTTTGTCTGGCCTACACTTCCCTGCCATTGGTGACAGTCAGTAGGTCCAGCAGGCTGGACCTATTCAGTTATGACTTGTTTCCAAGGGAGCTTCAGGCTGCTGCACACCACCCTGTCCTCAGTGCCTGTGGCCCCATGGCTCAGCTCACCAAGGTAGAGAAAAACCTGGGTGGAAATGATGCCACATGCCCTCTGATAGGCAGCAGGGCAAACAGCACAGGCTTCAGCTGCTTTGGCTCTATGTAGGTGGCTGGCAGCCAGCGGCTCTCAAACTGGCCCTGTTCTGCTGTGCCCCAAGACTCATCAGAAACTTCTGTTGTGCTTCCAGTCTGCGGAATGAGACACAGCAGGAAACGGTATAGTCTCCTCATTATCGGTGCATGGCTCTGCTCCACAATCTCTTCTTCCAAATTTGTGAGTCCACATTTTAAAAGCAACTTTTCATATTAATTGTCTTTTTTTTTTCTTAGTTACTTTGGAGCTATTGTGGGTCCTCAAGTCTGTTTTTCTGTCACGACATCAAACCTCAGAGCCTCCATTGGGCCTCTCAGACTCTTCGGAGCTACATAATGGGTGCTGGTGGTCTGCAGGTTCCTGTGCCATCTTTCCTCATTTTTAAAAATGAAATTGTCAACTTATAATTTTGCAGTTGAAACCCTGCCTGAAGCAACTGAAAAATAATTCATAGATTTGTACTGGAGTGATTTTTTTTTTGTGCCCTGTGTAAAGATTATCACTGTATATTATTCAAAAGTTGATTTCTAGCAGAGAGCTGAGGACAGGCCAGACTTTGATGATTTTATTTTTATGAATCATCACTGATTTCAGTGTTTTGTAAACATCATTCTTCATCACCTTCTGATGGGTCAATAGAAAGCTCATCAGCCAATTAGCTGGACAGAAGAGAAGAGAATGGGCCCTCAGAAGCCCGTAAGGAGGTCTGTCCCAGGGAGACTACAGAGACCGGAAGGACCTTGAGGAGATGAGTGTGTGAAAAAAACATGTGGACAGAACAGGAAGATTCCCCCTGAGAACGAAATGAGAGCACGGGCATAAGGACGCACATGGACCAGGCTAGCCAAATCCAGACTCAGATAAAAGATAAAGAACTATGTGCGTGGGAATTAGGCAGCCATAGAGGATTAAAATAGCTCTGGACCTGCCCAGATTAGGCTTGCAGATTGTTAATAAAAATACCAAGTCTCTGTGTCAGTTATTTGGAAGCTAGAGTGAGCTAGAAGAAGCATAGTAATGCTCTGAATTATTTGTGTACAAAATCTCACTGCCACTGTGGCTTTCCTCAGTAGATTCTGGTGGCATGAAAGATCTGAAAAATCCATTCTGAGACCTTTAGTTAAGCTCTGCTGTATAATTAACAGATTTTTCAGCTAACTTCACATTATATCTCCCTCTATATTTTGTCTTATACTTGATGTACCATTGAATGAATCACATGTAAAAGAATAAAGCCCACACGTAAAAGACTAAAGCCCAAAGTGAACTGAGGCAGATGATATGATTCTTTATAAGACAGGTTTACCTTTAAGTTGTTTAGAGAATTTGCAGCATCTTGCACTATTGTTAGCTTCAGAAAGTCTACTAAATATTTTAGAACAATAACATATAGAATAAAGTATGTTGGTTTTCTTAGTATTATCAAAAATGATTACTCTGCTTAATCTAATGATCCACTAACTATATTAAACCATAAGTGCATATGGTTGCATAGTGTGTATATTTTTGTCATTTATCCTGTTGTTCTTGCTGATGATGCTTGTTTGGTTGTTTGTTTTCTAAAGATACAGAAAAGGACTGAGCATGAGAATGCGTTAACATGGAGGTGGGATGATCTGGAAGAAGTTGGGAAAGGGGAAACCATGACCAGAATATATTGAATGAAAATCTGTTTTTTTTTTCAGTGAAAACAAAGAATCCCTACTTAACATATTCCTTATAATTATTCACAAATTATGGGAATAATTTAATACAAACAGTAAAAGCTTCATAGTCATCTTAAATGAAAGTTGATATTACTTGATCAAATGGTATTTAACATACAATCGCAAAATCTTAGTCATTCTGCCACTTTGAATGTGTGAAAATATAGTCTAATGATGTTTTCGGAGAAGCACAAATTAGTTATTAATAGACTATGAGATTGTATGTGTAGCAGTCAATTACAGGAAGATAAAAATGACTTTAACAACCTTTTCAGGCTTTGCAAATTAGCAACCAGTTAAATAGAAAAAGGGAGGTATTTTGTTGAATACCCATAATATCATTGCATGAGAGTATGTCCAACCCATTCCATTTCAGATTTTATAGACATACCTATAATCACAATGAATCATCAAGGACAGGGTTAGTTTTAATACAGTAGCTTATATCAACTGCTTAGGACTCCTACCATCATACAAAGAACTAAAACCCAATGCTGAATGGCCAAGAAACTCACTTATTAGCAGCAATAATTAGTGACAATTAGGCTTAGACAAATAAAAGTAGCATGGAAGACATCAGCCAAGGTTAGTTTTGCATTTTAAAATAACATACGCTGGCACTGTGAGGGTAGGCAGATAAAGATGTTGTTGAGGAAGCCTGGTTTTGAACCTTGGAACTGCAGAAAGGAGGGTAGAAGAGAATTCAATGTATAAAGTGTTCATCTGACTTTCATATATACACCATGGTATGCATATCCATACACATATCACATATATTTAACACATACACACACACACACACACACACACACGTATGTACACTTACACATACTATAATGAGGAAGAAGGACAAGATGAAGGAGGAGGAGGAAGGGGGGAGGAAGAAGAAGAAGAAGAGGAAGAAGAAGAAGAAGAGGAAGAAGAAGAAGAAGAACAAGAAGAAGAACAAGAACAAGAAGAAGAAGAAGAAGAAGAAATAATAACTACAACAAAATAAAATGATCTAGCCAGACAGTGTGTCCTTAAACCTTACATTCAGTTAATCCCTTGGTCCTAAAGATGCCTTCTGGCAAATGATCACTGATAGAGAATTTAAATTCTAAATCTTTGTATAACTTCACTTAGTATGGAGACAATCAATTACCACTAGCCATGTGACAGCTCTACTACTGGAAAGAGAAGATGAAGTCCCAGAGTCTTCGTTTGCTCAGATTATCATTTATTGTAATCACATTGCATATTTTGGTATTTTTGCCGGCAAACTCAGTGAATCAGAAGGACTTATTGATGTACATATTCAGGATCTCATTAAAGTTTGTGGTATCACCACAGGAACGTCCTGCTGTGACATAATTCTTTGAAAGAAATCATTCCTGAGACATCTCTTGGGCTTGTGTGCATCAGGGAGCAAGGTAGCATGAACGAATCAGCTGTGCTTACATAATAATGATCTCTGAGACTAGCATCTAATTCTACATAATTTTAAGCTCTGTACAATATTTATGCTGCTAAAGTCACTTTGATAGGTATCAGATGGCTTACCAATTACATTGTTATGGTTATGGACAGCTTACCAATAGAATCATCATGGATGGCTTACCAATAGCATCATTATGCCAGATCGGTGCCTATACGTGCTCAACAAACACATATGTCACTGCAGAAGCAATGGAGTGTTGGCCTGGCTCCTATAAACTAAAATTTCAGGATTGGAATCTCATTAAGAACAGTACCTACCAGGGGACAATGATTAAGCAAGCATTGTCTCAGTTGCTTCCAGAACAGATGTCCACAGATTTCATTTCACAATTTCTTGAATTTCACTAATTCTTTTCCAGCATCAAAACCCGAATAGGAGACTGTGTTATATTTCAATATCAACACTGGCACTTTGGAAATAATTACTTTTTCAAAAATAGCTATTGCATAAACAATTGATTGCACTGCTAAGTGCTTACAAATACCTCATAAAACAAAGTGAATATAAACAATCATATTATCTACAAGCAACAACAGATAATAATTAAATTTACTATGATGGTACAAGATAATCTTTTCTAGTTTTACACTGATTGAATGTAAGTAGTCTAAACACTGACGGGAGCCATCAAGAATTAAAATTTATCCAGGATTTAACAAATGCATCACCCTACTTATAATGCAAACACAAAAAGGAAAGTGGAGACAAAAGAAAGAGACAATTGGTAGCTTTGTTAAACAAAATAATTTGAGGAAATGTAAAGTAAGAGATTAATAGATTTGATCTAAAAATACCATCAAGAAATAAGGCACCTCACTAAAATTTAAATAGCTAATGATGTAACAGGATCTTTGAATATGAAAACATTGCTATTTCATTCTCTGGGCGACATCTGACAATCTGGACAACCTATATACTCCCCCAACCTGTGTGACTCTGTCAACATGGATTAAAGGGGGCTATTTGAATACATACATTCATTTATTTAGTAAATGTTGACTAAGCATCAAGTACATTCAAAGCATGGTATTAACTTTTCAAAAGACAAATATAAAATCATACAGGTCCGGCCTTGATGGAGTTCAAGGGAGAAAAAGTTAGACTTGGGGAAAAAATGAGTTATAATATAGGAATTAAGAAACTTCAGAAGAAGTCTGGACACAGTGCAAGGCTGAAGAAAAAGCAAAGGTCTATGGATAGAGTAAGGGTGGGCTATGATACAGGAAAGTTATCAGGTAAGGATAATATACAAGATGAGGAGGTGCATTTCCCTTGTCTGGGGAGGAGGAGGTCTTAAGGAAAGACATTGCCAGACTGCATTGGAAGTGGAGGCAGAAAGAAGGTGGGCAAGGTTGGTGCAGGTTTATGAGTTGGGGTGTGGATTAGTTATACAGAATTGAAATCCTGGCTATCCTGCCTGATTCATCCTCCCCCTTGGCTCAAACATAGACACACTGATTTTCAAAGCAGCATTATTCAGTCTTTGAAATCTTTATTCTTCCACAAAGTCAGTAAAATAAAACTATTAATCTGTCACCTCTTAAAAGTTAATATATTACTCATTTAAACACTTAAAAATAAATCAAAGGACCAAACGCTGCACTGATAAATAGACTATTGAGGAACAGAATCCATAAATTAAAAAAAAAAAAAGACTTCTCTTTGTCATAATGTACTTTTTTCCCCCACTATCCTTACTTTTCTAGGCCCCGGATGCTACATTCGGCATTATCCACTGAATAAGCTCTCTTTTTTAATATTAAAATTCCTGTTCTGACCAAGCAATACCATATGCCTATCCCCTCTTTGCCACAGGGCCAGGCCCAGCTGCCAACTATAAGGAAGAGAACAGACTCTTTTGCTTCATTTTGTATTCCCTCAGCATTTTTCAAATCTTGTTTGAAACAAAGGCAGAATGTGAAGAGGCTGATAGAGGCCTTGAAATAGCCCTTAGAAATGTTGTTGTAGCTCAGGGTTAAAGCTTTTGCCTCTAGTGCTTGAGAACTAAAGTTCTCTACTACCATCTATCTATCTATCTATCTATCTATCTATCTATCTATCTATCTATCATCTATCTATCTATCATCTATCTATCTATCTATCTATCATCTATCTATCTATCTATCATCTATCTATCTATCATCTATCTA